AGCGTCGTTTCAGGATAAATCAGGAGTGGTAGTAGTAATAGTTTAAAGCTACACTGTTGGAAAATTTGGCTTAAATTTAACTAATTTACATATCGCATGTCCCAAACGGTCCACACAAATTTTTGTGTTCATTTAATATAATATGGATATGTTAAATGATGAATTTAATATTAATACATTTTCTAAACTTTCACTCTTTGTTTCTCGCGCGCGCACAAAAGTGTCCACGCGAATAATCACCTCATAATTTCCCAGATGTTCCATCTTACACTCGACCCGTTTCTCCGCCTCAAGGATGCGGTCAATTGGCATGTCCGCGTGCAGACTGCTCGTGCTCTCCACCTCGCTCTGATCTCGCTCCTTGGTACGTTGACGTTCCTCCTGCACCGCCTCCCTCTTCATCCCCATCGCCAGGCACTTCTGATACCGGCAGTATTGACAACGGTTTCTCTGCCGCTTGTCAATAATGCAGGACTTCTCCTCGCGACAGGCATACGACAGATCCTTACGCACGGTTCTCTTGAAGAAACCCTTGCAACCCTCGCAACTGAAAGACGAGTTCGTTTTAAACGTAAAACGACAATACAGCAGCATTATAACTCCATTATATAGTAATTTCATGCAATTATTTTATTTCAAATGTAATCCAATTGCGATCATTCCAATTAGAGACGAGATTCCAGAACCACGAATAAATAATTTTAATAGGATGTCTGGTCAAATCTTAGAAGAATATTCCCTGATTTTCCAGCTATTTTTGTTCAAAATTCCAGATAAAGAGAATATTTTAAAGATTTTTTGTGATGCAACTTTCTAAAATAATTTTTTTTTTTTTTTAATTATATGCGTTTTCTAATGCCTTTCACTCGTACGAAGAAAAAACACAGAACCACTCAAGTTTCAATTGCTAGATTGGCAAATGGACTGAAAAAAACCTGAATATCTTTTGTAAGATAAGCATTTTTCGCATGCATGACATTTTAATTTTTTTATCACTAAAAATTACAATAAAGAATATGTACTATATATTCGATATTTTGTCGACATTGAATATATAAAGAATATATAAGAAAATATAAGAGATAGATATATATTTATAATATATTTTGAACATATAATTTTTACAATTTGGCTTGTTTACGGATTGCCGATTGCTTTAGAATATAAAAGTATTATTAAAGAAAATTTTTTAAAAAATTCCCCGAGTTCCAATAAGATTCCATGAGAATTCCCTAATTTTTTTATTTTAGATACAAAAGAATCTCTGAGAATTCTAGGTTTTCCATGTTTTCTCAAGGAATAGACACCAAACACGAAATTACATTTTTTGCTTTGGAAGCAAATCGTACACTATATCTATATCTCCACTTTTAATTGACTCGAGGAATTATTGTACTTTGTTATATCGCAGTTATATATATATTTGTGCAATTATTCTGCTTCAATTATTATTGTGCAATTAAATTATGCATTATTTAAAACAAGCGGATTTTACCCTGTGCCCATTTAAAAATGAATTACAGAATTAAATGGATATAATTAAATTTTGCGCTTTAAGAATTAAGTTGAAAAAAGTGTAAAAATTTTACAGATAAATAAGATTTTTTAAATCGAAGGAAATTAAGGATGTATGTATCATATGTCAAAATATTGACAAAAGCATCAAAATTTCGTAGACTTTTCTACTATTTTTTCTGAGTATCCTGTGCAATACCTGAGCAATTCTCTTAACAATTTGGAAATTATTTAAGTTTAAAGTTTGTATTGTTTCTTATGGAAAATCGCGTATTGTAGCACTTATTGACAAATTTGACAAGGACAAAACATTGCCAGCAAAATAAAAATTTTTTTAACAAAACTCTAATAAATATTTGTGCAAAACTTGATTTAGATCCACTTACTCGTTCAAAAGTTATTTACTAAAAATTGTGGTAAAATACTTATAGTAACCCAAAAACTCCTTGTAAATTATTCGTTTCTTTTTTTTTTGTTTCTTGCAGTTCATTTAAGGATATATTAATAATCAAAAGTTTCTATCATAAATTAGAAGAAATATTAATTACTACTATTTTCTTTTGAAGATGTTAAAAACCATATTATTTTATGATACTTAATTCTTTTTATAATCTATTTTACAATCCAGATTTATTTATTTGACTTTCCAAACAGTATAAACGAAAGAAATATTTTTTTTTAATTTTGACAGTTTTTTGCAACTATTGTATAGCCAGAACGTTCTTAATTAAATCGTGTCGCACGATAATCATTATGTTGTTCACGGCACCAGGCGCGCGGAAAAAGGTGAATCACGGTAAAGAGACCATCTCGTATTTTGCAATAATACAACCACTCGAGTCCGCCGAACGATTTGTTGGCACTTTTCCTCTCACGACGTTCTCACACCAGTCTCTCCGACCTGCATCGGGGATGCATCGGATAAAGTACCACAGGTTTATGACTTCTCGCATGTAATTCTTACAGCGAGCAGCTGTCGTGAACAATACCGCGCGCGCGTAAATAAGAGATTCATCCTTGCGGTCCATTGTCAGAGACTCACAATGTATGCGTGTGTGCGCGATGACGTAATATTTAATTTTGCGAAAAATAATATCAAAACATTTTTTTTCTTCCATCGCACATGCAGTTGATGATTGAATTATTGATACAAAGTAGCGACACTATGGGTATGTATATTAAGATTACGTCATGCAACAACACGCATAGTGCAGAGTATAAATTATTCACGGTAACGTAGTAATTTTCGTAGATAAAGAGGAGAGAAATGTCAGTCTCCTCTTCTACGTCATATTTTCAGAAATCGCGAATAACATCATTCAGTCGCGGTTATTGTCGCCGAGAGAGAGAGAGAGAGTTTGTGATCATCAACGGTTCCGTGAGTCACGGCCCGCTCTCAGGGTCGTCGTTTTTAAAGTTTTTGGAACGTCTCCAGAAATCTCTCCCATTGGAGCCAGAAAAGCGGCGGCGAATTCCGCAGGCGGAGAGAATTTATTTTCGCTGCAGATATACATACATATATCTGCATCGTGTGTACATATGTGTATTTTCGCGACGATATCTCCGCGAACGATTCCGCGGGAAGCTCTCCTTTTTCGCGGTTGACAACGAAACGACGCCACATATTCTAAAAACGCTATATTCTACCCAGCAGAACCAAATAGTGGCATTAAATTCCGCTGTCATCTGCTAAATCTGGATAAAGTCCGCGCGCGTGTAACAGATATGCATATACGTCTTTGTTGAAAATCTACAGAGCTCGCGATTAACTCGAATGATACAAATTAAGTGAAATTAATCCTTAAAGGTCACATATGGATCATTTTAACTCTATCGATATTTTAACAATGGATTATCCCGAAAGCCTTAATCAATAAAAAAAAAAAAAGAAATGTTAAAAATTTATTTTTTATCTTTTATTGTATACGATCATTTTTTACAGAGATGTTGAAGAATATGTATACATTTTTGTACATTTTTTTTTTTTAAGCACTTTGAGACAGTTAAAACTGCGACAAGACATTGTGATATCCATATGTGATCAGGAACAGAAGAAGAAAAAAAAAAAATGTGTATGACCTACAAGGATTAATATTATATTTTTTGATACGTTATGTATGTTTAATTTTTCATCCGTGCCAAACACTTAAAAATGTCAAATTCTTAAACTATACTAAATTATAATACGTATATCTAAATATGATGCGCTCAACTCAGAAATGTCTATCTTTAATGTATCTTTAATGAGCCTCTTGCGAAATTAATTCGCGCGGCAGTCAATACGCTAAAAGCTGCTACCTCGACCGGGGACGATGCATTATTTGCACGTCGTGACGAGAGACCGACGAGAATCGTGCTCGTAAAGCGTATTCGCGAAGACTTGAGGATAAATCAAGCGGCGTATTCATTGTCTGGTTCGCGGCGGAGAATTTCCCCTTGTTTCGAGAATCTATATAGGCGAACCTGACACCAAGACAAACGATATGGCGCGCTAATCTCGTGGATTTTGCGAAACATCAAAATATCCCGTTTCCTCCTCCTTGGAAGACAACGCGTCTATCGAGACGATGCCCGGGATTTACGAGACGACCGTATTTACGTGTTGTTATTGTGCAACCGTAACGCGCCTTCCCGAAATTACGCCGTCGATCGCATCACACGATCGCGTTAATAAAGTACGCTAGTAATGCTACGTTAAATAATGCCAAAATATCCAGAATGTCTACTTCCTGTAAAAATATGGACAATCTGAAATTCTCGAGAATTTTTTTTTGTATCTGAAAAAATTAAGAAATTGTCATGAAATTTTATTGGGACTTGGAGAATTTTTTAAAAGCTTTCTCTTTGATAATTTTGCTCTTATATTATAAGCAGTCAGCAATCCATCGATAAACCAAGTTGTGAGTTATAATATAAATATAAATCTGTCTGTTTATATATTCAATGTCTTAATAAGATATTGAATATGTATATATTATTTATATATATGTATATATTATTTATTGTATTATAATTCTTAATAAAAAAAAAATTAAAATGTTTTGCAAGTTTAACTACAAAAGCTATTCAATTCTTTTTAAAATCTTATTTTAGAAAATTGCACTAAAAAATCTTTAAAATATTCTCTTTACCTGGAATTTTGAACAAAAATATCTGGAAGATTAGGAAATTTTCAGGAAATATTTTTACATGATTTAGCTAGACATTCTGAAACCCTGGAAGTACGAGGTGTCAAAAGAAAATACGATCTTTCTTATTTCAAAAATTTAAACGCATGTAATTATAAATCCATCAAGATGCCATCGTAATTTTCTTCTCGTTCTTTCGCGTCGTCATCTAATCCTTCTAATCGAACGGATTTTACTTTTCCACAATGTTCGCTAATTTGCAACTCGACTATGATGAGCGAAGGCTCGGTTACAACACCGTGTCCTTAATCGCCATGTAAATGCGGTAAGAAAAGAGGAAATTCCACGCATTGAACGTACAATAATGGAGAGATGAATTCTTATGCCCGTAGCGCTTTTCCAACATCAGCAATAAGATGATACGAGATGCCAAGAGACTATTGGATGATACAATAGCTCCGATAGTCGAGCTTTAGCATCGGGGATTGCATAGCGCGTCTCTAGGCGTGGGCGGCGGCGACGCACGTGATGCAATTTCTGGACCACCGTGGCAGCCGTTTGATCTCGCGGAGTTTATGCGAAAGACAAATATTCATGACACGAGACACGTGTAAAGCCGCTTGACTGCGCTGGTTCTCCCTCTCTCTCTCTCGTTATTTCTCTCTCCTTCTTTATTGTAAAAGACCTTCAACGCCATATGCACGAATAATGTCGGGGCAGAAGCTACACGATGCTATGTATGTTTCACAGTTTTTCACTCGGACGTAGGAAAATCCGTCGAAAAAAATAGAATTATACGACAAAGGCGGTTCGTCTGCTGCAGAAAATAAAAAGGCGATGCATCTCATTGCGAGATAACATTTTTAACGCAACGCACGCTTTCCAATTATGATCAGAACACTTT